CCATCGCCTGGGTTTGCCAGCAGCCTTGTCTGTCTTCCTCCCCTCCAGCCTAAAACAAAATGACCCCCTCTCACTGATCCACAAACCCCCACTATCTTCTCCACCTCATTGCTTGAGATCCACTTTCCCTAAGATACGTGTTGTATCTTTGTGGGGTTTTGCAAGGTTTCTGGAGGCACATTCTAGGAGTGCTGAGTTTGTTACCATTATTATACAAACAGAATGTATTGCTTTTTGAGAAAGAAATAATGGGTTTAATCTATTTAATTATTTTCTGGTAGTTTCTTGGATTTTTTCCTTGCTATTACAAAAATTATCTGTTTGCCAGGTTGTGCGAAGACATCTATAACACAAGTAGAGTTACTAGATGTTACTGAACACTTTACCAGGTAGACTGTCTTTCATTTCTCTCATCATCAGAGGTACGTTTCAAACAAGTTCTGCCCCCTTTTTAGTGAGGAGCTCTGGGATGGGTTCTGGTAAGTCTGTGGGACTGTCAAAAGCGCTGATAAAAGCCACATGTCAAAAGGAAGCAGCGTGTTTGCTGCTGAACACTGTAACAAAAAATAGTGTTCAACCTGTTTTGCAGAAACTATTCATAGGGTAGAGTGACTGTAAAGCTGCCCAGCAGAAAGGGACCTGGGGATGTTGATTTGTAGGTGACTGAATATGAGCCAGCAGTGTGCCCAGGTGGCCAAGAAGGCCAACAGCATCCTGGTTTGTATCAGAAATAGTGCGGCCAGTGATTGTTCCCCTGTACTTGGCACTGGTAAGGCCCCACCTCAAATACTATGTTCACTTTTGGGCCCCTCGCTACAAGAAGCACATTGAGGTGCTGTAACAAGTCCAAAGAAGGGCAACAAAGCTGGTGAAGGGTCTGGAAAATAAACCTTTTGAGAAGCAGTTAAGAGAACTGGGGCTGTTTAGTCTGAAGAAGAGGAGGCTGAAGGGAGACCTTATCACTCTACCACTACTTGAAAGGACGCGGGGGAGGTGGGGTTGCTCTCTTCTTACTAGTAACTAGCAATAGGATGAGAGGAAGTGGCCTCAAGTTATGCCCGGAGAGGTTTAGGTTGAATGTTAGGAAAAACTTTACAGAAAGGGTTGTTGGACACCAGAACAGTCTGCCCAGGGCAGTGGTGGAGTCACCATCCCTGGAGGTATTTAACAAATGTGTAAATGTAGTGCTTAGGGACATGGTTTAGTGGTGGCCTTGGCAGTGCTGGGTTAATGGTTGGACTTTATGATCGTAAAGGTCTTTTCCAACCAAAATGATTCTATGATTCTGAGATTCTATGCTATGAAAATATTGCCATTGCTCATGCAGAAGCTTTTTTTACGATACATAATTTAACTGTCAACACCACGACTGAATAAAAATTGTCTGACAGCGACTGTCTTTTTAATTAGCATCTGTCATTTTTTCTGCATCAGAAAAAAGCAAATACAAACTTCTAGTATAGATAAGTTGTTAAAAATAATTGACAGATTTTCAGCCACAAATTTCAGCAAGATGGAAAACTTTACTGGAATATTTGAATTTTCACAGCAGTTGAAGTAAAAACTATTTTTTGACCTTACTTTGTTTCAGCTTTGACACTGATGGTATTTTGATCTTAATACAGCTGTTTCAATTTCTTGAAGCATATTTCAAATATTATAAATTGGGCAAAACTAAATTCTTAATGAGCTGAGCTTTTTAAAAATATTTTTAAGGTGTTTAATTTTTAATAACATTCTTCCAAAAATGTTTCAGAGAAGCAAAGTCTGAGCAAGATGTATTATAACCACTTGCTATGGAGATGTACAATAATGTGAACAATAGAATAACCTCATGTATTTATGTAAAAACAGAGGGTGTAGGAATCTGGTAGTTCTGATATTTCTTTTTGTAATGCCAAAAAAATGCAGAACAAGTATTCTTATGTAAATAGTTACAATCTGAAATTAATCTTCTCCAGTAATTTTGGCCATTTATATAGATTGAGAATAAAAATATGGAAATAATTAAGTTATAATCTTTTAACATGTAAAGGAATGTGAAGCAATGACTGAAGTGGTTCAATGAAACAGAGTTTTGAACGTACTAAAAAAGTTCTTGACCACTGTGGATGCTGAAGGCAAGTGCATAATCTTAATTTATTCAGTATTAATAATAACTTGAATTGTGAAAACATAGGAAAGCTTGTTTTTAGTCTTCTAGTCGGTCTGCTGAATAATGGATAGTTGCAAAAAGCTGAAGCCTTGAAGATGAAAGTGTTTTTAAATGTTTTAGATGGGTTGTCTGCTATATCTGAAATAGTCAACTGGATGTTTTAAAGTCAGTGGAGTGAAGTAAGTTCTTATAGAAATGATCTCATAAATTGTATTTCAAGATTAATTTTGTCTACTAAATATATCCCAAGATGAAAGTATAGTTCTTGAACATATTTAGACCTTTACATTTTTCTTTTTGTAATGGACAAAGTATTTTCAGTTTTGCCGAAGACTGGCAGAGGAAACTTGCAGGATAGGAGTCACTGTCACTGTTTAGTTAGAGTGGCACTTAAAATGGTTTATTGTCATAATGTAGATGTTTTTCTAAGTGTAGGGAGCAATCTGGAGTGAAAAAGTATTATATAAGAGAAAAAAAGAGTTTTAAATAACAAATTACTCTTGAGCATGAACAGACTTTAGAAGTGCCTACGTTAGTATTTTTCACTGGTGATATTAATTGGAAATTTTCAATTATACCACCTGTACGAATATCTGGTTTAGTTCACTCACTTGCTTTAGGAACATGCAAATGGAATATTGAGATCTAACAGTAGATTAAATATAGGCAAGACTAATGAAATGATCTTTATCTCAGTTCAGGCTACCTCTGCCAGAAAGGAGCAAAAGCAATTAATCGTTCAGCATGGGAGTTATGTCTGCTGAACACATAGCCTCCTGTCCCAGAAGAAAGCTATGACTGAGTAATGCATCCTTTATTTGTTAAAATTACAAACCTTGTTTTTCTTTAAAGGGCATGCTCAGTTTTGTGCAAGTGTTAAGGTACAGTTCAGCTTTATTTTTCATCTGTGTTAAAAGAATATGTTGAAGGGGTATAGTTGTTTCAGTGCCCACCTGCATGTGATCGCTGTTGCTTCAGTTTCATGACCCAAAAAGCATATATCCACACATGAATTTTTCCAGTGCCAAATGACACTGATCGCTCTCTTCTTGCCCATGTTTGAGTGTATTTTGCATTTGTTTGATTCAGTTCTAAACTTAGATAAGCAGAGTGACTTTTGCATTAATAATCTCCTTTAGTCTTGTTTGTTGACATTATGGCAAGATCCAGCTCAAATCCAAGGAAACAGTTTATTTTGTCAGCTGTATTTCAAGATGGTGATCTGACAGTGCGATCTCTTCCGAATCTGTGCTGTCTGTGATCAGGCTGTGTTCAACTGTTCAGTTTGTAATCAGTGTTTTGGGAATCTTTCCAACTTCAGACGTTAACCTTTAGGTTTGTAATTTCCTGAGTGATTTCCCCACCCCCCCCACCCTCTCCGTCCCCCCCACCCTTCTCCTCTACTACTGGGGTTTATGGAATACTGGGAATTGTGATAAATTCTGGCCTGAAGTGTGTCTCTTCAGTGGTGTTTGTTTTGGGTTTTTTTCCACTGAAAGTATACATTTGTGGTTCATAATCCAATTTGCACTTACAGACATAATAACCTAGGCTTGAAATTACGCTCAGTCCTCAATGAGACGTGGTGATAGGCCAGAGGGGATTTAATAGGTCAGCAGAAGAGTGAGAATTTGCACCAAAAGGACCTACTCTTTTTACTGATAGCTTGTTCACTCTTAGTTGTACTCAGCTTTGACAGTTAGTCTGTGCATGATAGGAAGGTTCCACAACTCCATAGAAGAAATCAATAATATAGCATTTTATGTACTAGAGCAAAAGAAGGGCATGCAGGGTGAATTATGCTATTATTTGACTTAACTCTTTGATGTCCAGTGTTTCTCATCTTGGCCTGAATTTTGAAAGTGAATGATCTAAAGAGACTAATTCATTACTTTGCCACAAAGGAAGCTGAGGGAAGTAGATTACAATTTTGATCTCTGTACAAAAAGGTTTGTGTGCTAGTTGAATTAATCCCTTGAGTACCTTATGGTTTGCAGTATGTCCAACAAAAGGGCGCTTGTTTCCTTATGAAAACACACTGTGCATACCAACCTTCCCCTGCCAGAGCTGGAAGGCTATTCAAGTTTCTGATCAGCATTTCCCACTGGTGCTAACATTTAGTCACCTATTAGTTACTAAATACAATAATGTGGTCTGTGTTTTTCTTTTAAATTGAAGTAAAAAATGAATTGTTGTAACTGTAAATTGCCAGGTTTAAAATATATTGAAATAATTTGTAAATGTTCAATGTCAGCTCATCTTTCCTCTTTACATGTACCTATATATTAGATTGTCCCTTAAAGAAAATTTGAAAAACCAAATCACAGCTTCCCTGATATCTGAATGGTAACGCAAGTAGAGAATGTGTGTCAGAAGAGGGTATACTAATGTGTTTCAGTGGAAGACACAAATTACTCTGTGGGTAACAAATGAAGACAGGTGGCATGGGCCACAGCTGGCCATGAACCACCACATGTGCTCCTCCTGGGCTCTCTTCCTGGTGTGGGGTGTTAGTCTGTTTCTCTCTGCTTTCCCTAGCTATGGATTTTCCACAAAACATTTGGAAATCTAGTGTCTTTGAGACTGCTGAATTCAAACATACTGGCCAGTTTTAGTCAAGGGTTACTGTGAGCACATGGGATGTACAGATTGAGATCACAAGCATACCACAGTTGTCCCAAGTCTCCTTATGCAGTGTCTTGAAAGGACGCTATGGATACCTGGTAGGTCTTCCACTCTCAAAAGTGTATTTTTGGTATTGAATTCTCAACAGTTGCTCTCTTGAGAGTTTCCTTTGTTTTAATCTTTGTATTTGCTATCTTTTAACTTAGTGTTGTCTTCTTACCATCAGCCTCTGCTGCTCGAGCATAGTTACTGCAAAGTACTGACATGCCTTATGAAGTAGCACCTTGCGAGTCTGTGAGTAGTAACACTGTATTAACACAGAGACACAGACTTAGTTGTTACACTTTTAAAGAAGAAAATAAATACCCCTTTTTGTCTAGTGTTTATTGTGAATTATGTCTTTTATCAGCAATAGTATTCACATTTTATTATGCTGGCTCCCTAGCCACATGAGGTGCTCAGTGCATCTCTGTTTTCCTCTAAAAGCCTGCACTGTGAAAGTTGCTTTGCTTGTGCTCTGGCTTGCTAGAGGCTGTATGCCTTCAAACCTGCATCTTTCTCTTCTCTCTAGTAGAGCATGAACTCTCTTTATGCACTTTGAAATTTTTATTATCCTTCTTAAGATATTTGGAGAGCTGGTGGAATTAAAAGGAGAGGTATTATTTCTTTCAAAGGTACTAACAGTGTGTTGTTTGTTATGGAGACAGTATTGTTGGTTTTTGAAACTTGTAGCTTTGCCAGCTCTGGATATCTAGGATAATTTCACCTCTTGCCACACTTACCTTTGAGGCTTTTCTAGTTTTTATTATTTTTCTTTTTGGTAAAAATATGGACGAATCAGGCTCTTGCCCCTTGTCCAAGCAGATACGCCATCATGTTAAATCTGAGGCTTTGCAACCTCATCCAAAAGTTTGAGAGCTGAGAGCATTGAGGAGAAGCAAGGAAACTTCTGAAATGGTGTGTGTGTAGCACTTCCGCTTAAAACATTGTCAGTGATTTTCTTAAAAAGAAAAAAAAAAAAGGAAAAAGTATTTCAATTTAATTTTAGAGTACTGTGCAAATCTTAGATTTGTTATTTTTGGTATCCTATCTACAATCATATCCTCCTGTGTTAAAGACAGCTAACTGGCACCCGGAACTTAAATACCTAGTTAAGATCCACAGGAAGTAATATTTGCATTTTGGATCATAATAGGAGTTCCTGACTTTGTATTCTGCCCCAACAAGCAATGATATCCTATCTATCTAAAATCACTCTATTTCAACATACAGTTATTAGAGAACTATGATGGTGTTCATACTGGTTCTAGAAATGCTCCTAACTCCTTACCTGACCCTTGTATACTATGAAGTATTGCCTGTAAAGGAAATGGAAACATTAGTAGGCAACTAAATACATATTTTTCAAAATTATTTATAAAACCATAACAAAAAATATGTGTAGGATTTGAATCTGGTTTCTCAAAATGAAGCTGGTGAATCTGGGCCCCCACATGACTAGAAATACCTAACACTTCTCCTGCTGGCTTTCTCACCTCTTGAAGGTGAAGGAGGCCTTTGGTAATGCATAGAGGATGGGATGCTGTGTGGTTTGGGTACCTTGGGATATGTGCACATGGAATTGTCCTTAAACAAATGTTAAAATTATTGAGCAAAGAGCTTATAAACTCCTTAGCATTTACTTTAGTTGAAAATGAAGTTGATAGATATGGGTTTGAAACAGTGATTGACATAAGGAAAAAATGGACCAAAGTGAATACAGGGATTCTGTGAAACTGCCACTTCAAAGATGCCTTCCAGAAAACATTCTGTTGTAATTTTTTTTTCCCTTGGAAATAGAGTTAAATAATTTCAGTTACAGGTAGCTGTACTTGTTTTGTACTTGGGAACTGTTTGTATTTGGAGTTACATGTAAAGAAAAAAAAAAAAGTATTTTCTCATTAAAACATGGACTGGAGAAAGTTAAAGCTAAATAATTCCTGTACACTGTGCTCTACTTTCTGTATCTTTCTTTGGCTTCTAAAATACTCCCGACACTGGTCTTACGTGTTCTGTCTGGAAGAGAACATTTATAGATGGCCTGACCATCCTAAGACACTAGCTTATTTCAGAGATGGACAGAAATGCTACTGTACCAAATTACCTTCACTACCATCTTCAGTACTCTGGTTTTCTTCAGAAACCTACAGTTATAAATGGAGGAGAAAGGAATGTGGCCAAAATTCTGTCCTTTAGGTAAGGAAGTGTAATGCTTTTTAATGTGAAGGAGGAAATAATCTTGGGGCATTCCTATTCCCACAGCCTACAGACGCTGCACAGTCCATCATTAAATATGGTATTCAGAAAAATCAGTGTAAAGCCAAAAAACCCATACACAATAATTAAGACTCAAATTATGTTTTCATTTTAATTGTACTAAAATTGTTATGATAGAAGGATTTTCATGATCTCTCTCTGGGGTGTGGTGTTTTTGGTTTTGTAGTGGTTTGATTTTGACTTTTACATCTGCTGCAGCATTTTCATCATTCTAAGTGCTGTTTTGTTGACATTTCTTAATTTAGCAGTGGTGTTCGCAAAGTTTTGCATTGTGATTGCTTTTTGTCAGTTTTGGTTTATGATGGGCTAAATAGAATACAAACATTTATGAATGCACTAAAATATGTCACTAGTAATTGTCAAACCAAAACTGACTATAGGCCTTTTTTATCTTTATTGTTTTTTTGAGAATAAATACCAGTTTCTTCAAGATGAAGTTTCATCTTCAGTGTCACAACTTGCAACAAAGGTAAATAAATATTCTTTGGAAGAATGGGGAGGGGAAGGTATCTTTTTTTTTTTTTCTTTCACATAGTAGCTATTAAAACACAAAATGAAAATAAGAAGCCACAGGAATAAATGAAGTCTAAGGAAGCACTGAATTCTTGTGGAACCAGTAACAAAAGTGTGAAAAGTAGAAGGGATTTATATTATTTATTCCATTATACATAGCTCAGCCGGGTCTCTGACCACAAGAGGTCAGGGACTTTAAAATCATGGCATCATAGACTGATTTGGGTTGGAAGGGACCTTAAAGATCATCTAGTTCCACCCTTCCCTGCCATGGGCACTAGACCACGTTGCTCCAAGTCCCATCCAACCTGGCCTTCAAGACTTCCAGGGAAGGGGTATCCACAGCTTCTCTGGGCAGCCTGTTCCAGTGTCTCACCACTCTCACAGAAAATAATTTCTTCCTAATATCTAACCTAAATCTCCCCTCTTCCAGTTTGAAACTATTCACCCTTTATCTCATATCTCTTTCAGAAAAGTAGGCATACAAGTAATTTTCTTTTACCTTGATATGTGTCCAAGAATCTTTTAAAATGTTATTCAAATACATTAGTAGAAGATGAAAGAACTGGAAGTTGTTATGATATGCTAGAGCTTGTATTGAAATTCCATAGGTATGGAGAAAAGCATTTAAAAATAGGTTCATTAGTGGAATAGGATACTTTACATTAATATGTATAAACTAAACATCTGTCTCTTGCTTCTTTTTGCTCTACTTCAGATGCAGCATGATTTTCACTTAAAATTCAGATTGTTCTATACCTTTTTCTACTTTTTGGAAGAATTTTGCTCCTTTTTATGAAAACATTACTGTTTATGATATGCCAGATGATGAATGTTTAGGAAAAGACCCTTACAATTATTATTTTTTTTTAATATTGAAGCTTTTTTACCCCTTACTTAGTAATTCAGGTAGGCTTGCTAAGTGTGTATTTTGACTTTTTTTTTTTTTTTTTAAAGTCATTGGGCAAACCACTGAGATGCAGTATTTTTGTGTTTTAAGGTAAAACACTTGTCTTTAAAATGTATTCACACCTTCTCTTTCTTTATTGTTGTTTCTGAAAACACTTCTGCATGGTTGTTCTGCTTTCTCAGAAGCTGTCAGTACAGTGATATTCCAGAAGTTCCAAAATCAATGAAGCTCCTGAAGAAAGAGCAGTAGATGAAGGGCACATCTCTTTAGGGAGACAGCCATCCTGGTCTCTTAAAGCCTGAGTCTCAGGACAGCCCTGATTACCATTCACAGAGGAGAGCTTTTTACCTAGGTTTGGAGGTATAAAAGCAGGAGCTAGTCCTGATGGTTGGAGATGGAGGTTGGAAAATTATTTTAGTTTCTGCTCACACAGGAAGCTGCCCACTTAGCAGAGAGGACAAGCTAACTGCAGAGCTGGATTGTTTTAGTTCCCTCTGCACAGCTCTCCTGAAAGGCAGGTGTAGCTGGTTTAAAAGCCTCATGACATCTCAGAGTGAGGAACTGTGAACTCTCTAGTAGTTCTCCACCAAATGCGGAAATCTGTTCACGCTGCACCTGGCCCTTGGGCCTCTGCAAATCTCATTTTAGGAGTTTCATCTATGTGCTGAGCTTCTTGAGTTAAAAGCACAGTGAAAACTTCATCTACAGCTGTTACTAGGTCAGCTTTTGAAAAGATACACAGAGTTTTGAGAAACAAACTAAATCATTTTAATAACAAAGTTGGAGATGGTGGGACATTCTGGTAGGGCCATATCCTGGAGTTTTGGCTCATGTGCACCACAGAATAGAGTTTGTCTGCACACTACCAGTTGGTTGAGTTGAGAAATTCCCTTCCCAAATGCTTTGCTACCTGGAAGACAAATTTGGAGGGGTGTGGGTTTTTTCACTTTCTGTTATTTGAGTTCTTGCATGTTGTGAATAGGTTTCCTATAATGTGGAAACAAGGCTTCTTTAATTAAAACTGACTGGCATGTTTTTATTATAAAATTGTTGTAACATTATTGAACAGTAAGGTACTTATATGGAAAATTCCATCTCTAAATTTTTATTTTGGGCTTTTTCTTTTTTCCTTTTTTTTTTTTTTTTTTTTTTTCCAGAGAGAAAGGGTGGAGAGAAAGAAACTGTAGGACAAACAATTGTTCCTTCTCATTCAAGGTTGAGAGAAAAATGAATTATTTTTGTTTACATTTATAAAAAAATTCTGCAAGTGTTTTGTGGAGTGCCTCTACTTTGCTGGAAGGTTTTGGTTCACAGTTGTCAACCCTCTGTGAAAATACTTGCAAAGGTCTGTTAAAACTTGACCCAAAAATAATTTTCTGGGAAACTCGGTTCATACATGCTGAGCAGTGACTTTTTAGGGCTTAGCTACTTAGGGACAAAATGGCATTGAACGTGCTGATTCTCACTGCAGGTATACAGCAAGAATCCCCTGTAACTGCTCTTTGTGGTTGCTAACACTGTTGTGATGTGGCTTCTTGTAGCCTGTAGAGAGTGATTTCTGTGCTCCAGAGCCCAGCTGGCCAGGCAGTTGGGGAGTAGATAAGTCTAACCAGAATATCTTGAGAGTACTGGTGCACACTAATAAAGCAGTACCATTTTAGAGTCGTAGTAATATCCAAACATATTTGAATCTCTTGCTTTGAAATGTAAACTGTTTGTCTTGTATCTCTAACGTACTGTCCCAAATCCTTCCTATTATTCTTTGAGTTGGTGGAATTCTGCGCGTTTTTTTTCCTCCCATAATAAGGTGTTCATATATATTAATCATATTCATCTGATGGATGGATTTAACTGTTCTCAGTTAAATTTATAGAGTCCTCCTCTTTGGTATATGTTAATATATATTTATACATATACACACACACATACTTTCTTTTTCTGCAATATACTTAAAAAATTTGCTTTTAGGCAAATCCACTTCTTTAGTTTATACCCAACTGCTGATATTCCCGGCTTGGTGTCTTTTAGCCTAACTTTTCATGAAACTTCTTGCCTTCTAGTAGAACTCTAATGATGAACTATGTACCTTTGACAGTAAAATGAAATGAATATTCTTCTTAGAGATGCTTTACTCTTTCACAGTAGACTCTCTGATTGTTCATTTATTACTCACTATCTGTTTACCTAGTATGGGAAGCTGAGAGTCATGTAAACAATCAGAAATTGTTGGTGTGGTAAAAAATGGTATAACAAGTAATTTTTTAGTAATTTTGTAGAAGACTTACAATTTAAGAGGAGATCTCACTTTCTGGAGCACTGCATAAAGTTGACTGTCAGTAGACATTTGTTCCCTGTTTTATCTAAAGAAAGAAAAATTGTAGTCAACATATGCAATGTATATACAGTTGATTCGCTTGAATCAATATAGGCTACTATACTGGGTTTGGCTGAGATGGAGGTAATTTTCCCCAGAGCATCCCTCATAGTGCTGTGCTTTGTATTGGTAGCTAGAAACGTTTTGGTAACACACCAGTGTTTTGGTTACTGCACAGCATCAACTCTCACCAGGATGGTGGGGATGGGCAAGATCTTGGAAAGGGACACAGCCAGGACAGCTGACCCAAGCTGACCAAAGGGATATTCCATACCATATGATGTCTGCTCAGCCACTAAAGCCAAGTGAATGAAGGAGGGTGGGTGGCATTTGTAATTTATGATGTTTGTCTTATGGAGCGATTGCTATGTGTACTGAAGCCCTACTTTCTGGGAAGTGGCTGGATATCACCTGCTGACGGGAAGTAGAGAATAAATCTTTTGTTTCCTTTGCTTCCACATGCAGCCTTTGCTTTTGCTTTATTAAACTGCCTTTATCTTGACCCACAAGTTTTTTCCATCTTAGTTTCTCCGTGCTTGTCCTATGGAGGAGGACAGTGATAGAGTGGCTTAGTGATCACCTGGTGTCCAGCCAAGGTTAACTCACCGCAGTAACAAAGCAGAAACCCCTTAACTTTAAGGGTTGAGTTTACAGAGTGCAGCTTAGGAGTGAGTTTAGAGAAGCCATAGTGTATGGACAAAGCTGTATGTATGGAAGAAGGTAGATGTCTGCAAATTTCAGAGGCTGCTTGAGGTAATACAGTAGTTGCTGCTACAAAAAAAGATGCTGAACTTCCACATTCTTTGGTGACTGACATCTTTTAATGAGCTGATTCTTATCACTAACCCAAAAGAATTCAAAAAATGAATGAATTAGATTTCTGTTGGCTTGGTGAGTTGAACTGTTTTCCCACGGCATCACACAGGTGCAAAACCATAGTGTAAGGAAGGCAGTATAAATGCGAGTAGGCAATAGACTGGGTTGACCCCTTTTAGCAGATAAACCAACTCTGCCAGGTCTTGCCAGCTTGAGAGATTTCTCTCTGGGGATCTAACACTGGGCACTGATACTGAAGCATCGGCAGAGCAGAGGGAAGGGGAGCGAGGGGGAGAAACAGCAGACAGTTTGCCTAGGGGTACAGACTACATCCTTTACATGGTGTTCCAGAAGTGGCTACTTGTACTGCCAGTTTCAGAAGACACACTAATTAAATGCCAGCTTTTTCATGGTGGAGAAAGAGTACTTCATAAGCTGGAATTTCCTCTACTGAAGGGGAAGAATCTGTGCCCTGCACTTGACTTTTAGATGCCCATTGGGGCAGACAATGATGATGGGTTTTCAGCCAGTTGATGGATTACTACGTATATGTAATTTCACTTCTACTGATCCTTTTAGGTGATTGATTGCACAGGGCATTGTGCTACATGGATTTTCACAATCTAAAATGGAAGAAACAAGAGAACTTCATTTATGGCTGTTCTGATAGGCATACTCTATGCTCTCATAGTCAAAATGGTGTGAGACCAGTCTGTAATCCTACTTCACAGAATACTCAAATGGCATCTTGAGAAGTTTCTGCTTTATTTCTCATTGTCAGCTTTGAAAAATAGTAGACTGCAGCATCCAATCTGGTCTTCTAAAGATTTTGACTTTCTAACATCTGATGTTATAGTTCTAGTTCTTCTTGATAGTGCTCTTTTCTTAGTAGTCCCTTACAGGGGGACTCACTTAATTATTCACTTAATTATTCACTTAATTTTTATTTTATTTTATTTTTTTTTCTGTCATCTGGAGTTTTGACTATATACCTGCTTATATTCTAGTAGTATAAATCAGCACTGATTTTTTAAAAGATCACTTCCTCCAAGCTTAATAATAGCCCATCCCATCAAGCAGAGAAAAAAGCAACTAGCAGGAGGCCTGTCTGCATGAACAAGATGTCCCTGAGAAACCTCAGACATAAAAAGGAAGCACAGAGGAGGTGGAAACAGTGTCAAGTGACATGAGAAGAATATAGAGACGCTCTTTGAGCATGCAGGGGTTGGGTTAGAGAAGATGAAACCCACCTAGAGTTAAATCTGGTGAGGAAAATTAAGAGCAACAAGAAAGGCTTCTGCATGTGCACCAGCAGCAGGGATGGTTTAAAGAAGACAGAGTCTCAGTCTTCTTGGTGATACTCAGTGAATGGGCAAGAAGGAATGGGCACAAATTGAAATAGAAGAAGGATTATTTAAACATAAGAAAAAATGTTTTTACCATGAGAACAGTCAAGCCCTGGAACAGCTTGCCCAGAAAGGTGGATTCTCCAGCTGTGGAGATACTAAAAATCTGGCAGTGGTACATGATCCTTGGCAATCTACTCAAGCTGATCCTGCTTCGAGCGGCGTGGTTGAACTGGATGGTCTCCAGAGGTTCCTTCCAGCTGTAAAGGCTGTGCGATTCTGTGAACTTTGGATGTTGAATGATTTCTTTTTCCACTGACACATGGGAAAGTACTTAAAAGGTTTGAGAATACAAACTAGTCAGTTATGTATATAAACTTAAAAAAAAAATAAAATCTAGGGGTAGTAGTTTCAAGTTTTATGTAGACAGTTATATAAAAAAAAATTAAATAGAGACCTACTGCAAGTGGATTAATGCTTTAGGAGCATATCAGTAGTGTATTTTCATACTTTGAATAACTTTAATCATTTTACATAAAATAAGTTTCTGGTGTGGTGAGTAGTCAGCTTACCAAAGAGTCACCTCTTCGTTACATTTTGACCTTCTTTTGATAGCCATTGCAAGAAAGCTTATTGTTCTGGGATCTGGGTCTTTCTCCATCTGTTCCATAAGAATATAAGAAATTCCCTGCTGATTCAGAGAGTGGCCCATCCAGTCTGGCAGTTCGTCTCAGACTGTGGCAACAGGAGATGCTAGCAGTTCAGGGAAAGCACAGCTTCGCCAGCTTCTAGGGTCTCTTCCCCTAACCTTAAGAATCATTGCTTTGAGATATTACAGAGCATGTCCCTCTAAATAGAGGGTATCTGTTTATGGATCTGCTGTCTGAATTTGTCTAATCCTTTTTGTGATGGTTTCCAGCTTTTTTTGCCTTTGCAGCTGCTGTGTGTCAAACTGGTGGTTTCAGAGAATGGTGACTTCAAGATCTCCTTCTTCAGTTGTACTTACCAGGAGATACAATTGTAACTGTTTCAGTTGCATTGGTGGTGGCCCTTGTCTGTAGGTTGAAAAGCTTTAAAGAACATAAAGAAGAAATGCAGCAGCCTGTTTTGAAGGTTTTTTATTATTATCTTTTTTAGTAATTGTGCAGAGTTGCATTACAGTGGTAGTAAAAAAAAAAAAAGATTGTTGCCTTAATTAGTTCTATTGTTAGCAAAGAGCTTCTGGAAGTGGGAAGTAGGTATATGACCTCCTCCTTTCCTAAGGTTATATTAAGCATGGTACCACTGAGAAGACTCTCAAGAGTGAACTGTTAGCTTCATTTCAGTTGAGTGAAAAGGTCAGCACTGGTGCAGGCGAATGTAGAAGAGGAGGCTTAAGCATGGTAGGCAGAGATTCTGGTTTTACTCTTGCACTTATGGGGTTTCTTTCAGCCTACTCCATTTAATATGCAGCAGCCTTTGTACCTGAGTTTTAACACGTATTAGGAAAATATGGTCTACTTTGACATTGATGTTCTTATGTAGATGTTGCCTTTGTCAACTTCTAATAAATAAGTGATGGAAATATGTATTAAAGGTTTTGTATCAGTTAGAATCTGCTACATGGTTGCTACCCTTACCTACCCAATGCCATGGAATCATTATAAGACTACTCTTTTTTTTTTTTTTTTTTTTTAATGGAAATACTGAAGGAATGGTACAATGTGTACATAGGCACTGATTTGCATACAAGTAGAAAGTGTGCAGAGTTTGTAAATTTTTATCTGGAGACCTGCAGTCACTATCTGCTTAACATTGAATAGAAGTTTTCTAATAATTGTTCTTAAATGTATCTGTAAATTGGAATTAGGTTTAATTAAATTAAATATTAAAAAATCTAAAGTTAAAAATATGGAAAGCTTGTGGCTAGGTATTAACAGGATTTTATTATGAAATGGTTCTTATTTTTTTTTTTTAAATATTATTTTAGCTGTAGAATGCTTTTGTATCCAAAACAATGCAGCAAAAGCTGGAGTTTTATCAGTAAAGTATGCATGATGCAGATTAAAAGAAGGTGTATGTGTAGACTATCCTTTTTTTACATTGAGCTTGTGTGTATAAAAATGCTTATCTCCAAACAATCTTTCATCAATGCTGTTCTTTAAAGGCACTTATAATTTAACTTGGTTCTTGGTCTCTGTCATATTGGTGTAAGAAAACCAGTAACAAGGTAGTTGTGGTTTTTTTCTTAATCTGCAGATTTATTATGTGGCAATGGCTTGATGGAACATCATTAAGGAAGACAAGCTTATATATAAATTAGATTACTGAGGAATATTTGGATCTTTTTCCAGTTTAAAGGCCTAGAGGATTAAGGCAGTAAGAGTTGTTATGTGCTACTTTTGACTGTGGGTTTGCCTATGGTAGCAAAGATTCCTACCCACAAAGGCCTGAAATACAGCTTGATCAAGACAACAGAAGAGGATGGATTTTTTTTAATATATGAAAATCTAAGTGCTTTCTAGTTTTTTTTCCCCTCCCCTTTTTTCTTCAAACAGACTACTACTTTTAATAGCTAACTTCTTGAAGATTCTTCCTGTTTTTGCAAGTGTGTTGGGGCTGAACTACTTTGCAGTCAGAGGAATCCAAATCAGAGCAACAAATCCTCATGTTGAACTTACAGAATTTAACTGAATGACAGAAACAAATAACAGGATTAGCCTTTATAGACTAAAATTGAGGGGTTAGACCATTATTTACACCACAGAAATATTAAATATTGAGTACTGCTTGGAGATGCTGATAGTTTAAACAAGGATTTTGTATAACAAGGTGTCTATTTGAAGGTATCATCTGCAACTTGTCTGGTTTTGTTTTGTACTATCAGCAGTATCAGTCTTTTATGAGATAAGTATGGTGAGCCTGCTGCAGAGATGCAAAGCTGAAGTTAGCTGCCTATGTATTTTTAACACAACTAAAAATAGCATATCTTTAAGTTAAACCTGAGAGTTTGCTTGTAATCTTTACTTGCTTCATTCTCATAGTGAAAAATATATGAAGAAGCTGTTGCTTTTCTTGTGAAGCCTTGAGGAATGCTGTGGTTTATGGTAAGATTAGGTGTGGGTTTAGTAAGAGGTAAGCAGAGCTGTAGCAGAGGTCAGGATTCTGGTAAACCTAGCACTTGTATGCCTTGTCTGTCCATATCCCATGGAGAGGAGCTGGAAATTGCTCCAAGCTTGCTCAGCCTTCCTTCTTGACAGCTCTCCAGAGATTTGCCCAAAGCTAATAAAAATTAAACTGAGTAGCAAGGAAGTCTAAGTTAGTCCTTCCTCCTGATCCTAAAATGGACCTGCTGTGTCTTCTGAGTCAGAGTAGTTGAGGCACTTAATTGTGAGTAGGGAAGGTGTGTGAGAAGTGAAGGTGTAGGACACAGTGGAATGGGAAAACAAGAGATAGAAAATGCTCTGTAATGTATGATAAGGCACTGTTCTACTCCTGTAAATGATAGAGCTTGTGGGTTTCTGAAAGGAGGTGAGAGTATCAGCATTTTTTTATCTGGTGTTTGTGCTCAATTTGTAGGTGATTGTTTTACATCCATGTTTCAC